AAAAAATACTTCTTCACATTACATCATATATGAAATAATTTCCAATATTAAAAATATGGTTTGTTTAATGTACATACAAGAGTACTAAGTCTGTGTTTTGCTTTTTTTTCTGGAAATGTAGAAACATGCAAATAAAACACACTGTTTATCTGATCAAATGAAGGATGATACAGAAACTTAGACTCAGTTTTCATTGGTAGACAAGTCTAACAATAGATTACTTTACATTATACTAAGATCACAAAACAATAAGCTAAAATTCCATACTCAGATAATGAAAAACATTTTGAATCAGAACTGTATTTTTACAACGTCTTCACAGGCTATTGTGTCTGACACAAAAGTAATTTCAGTATGTGGTCATACTTTGAATATATTTCTTGTGTTGCCTTAGATGATGATAGGGAGCAATCGAGGTGTATTTTTATTTACAGTGAGGAAGTTTAGATGCTGGTCTTTTAAGTATCTGAACTTCACACTGAAGATTCAGGTTTCTGAAGGAGAGAGGATGCTTATGCTAGATATTCCATTAGAGAAGTAGGAAAGACTGAGAAGTGTATAGGCGAATGGGAAAGGCCTGCTTTTTTTATTCTTGCTCTAAGAAAATCTGCTAATTTGTTGTGTCTAGTGAGAATAAACAGTAAGATCTCCCCAAGTTCCTTGCTGACTCTCTTACCATATTGGAAATTAGCATGAATATCTGAAATCAGTGTCCATACCTGAAACAGAAATACTTTGCATGCTTCCCTTTCTTAGGCCAGCTTTCTCATCACATGGATGACTTACTACTTGGGAATTTTTCAACTGTTATGCATTTTTCATACTTCCATACTACCCAGATTTTCTTCTACATGTGACATCCCTCTCCATATGGCAAGAGTCCCACTGCAGTCAAACAGTGGGGAGAAGCCATGAGAGACATTGCTGAAGTAGTTCTCTCAACATGTCCCCAACACACTGTTCTGCTTTTGGAAAAAAAATATGGGTGAGTTCTTCCTTGAAGAATTTGTTGCCAAATTTGGAGATGTGTCTTAGCCATTTTGGAAGTGAGAAAGAGAGAAGAGAGATTTTGAGAGAAGCATGAAAAGGCTTGTGGGATTGGCAAGGGAACAGAGAAACAATAGGAAGTTGTCTAGAACACATTCTGACACCAGCCTATGCAACATCTTCATCAAACATTAGGGTCCTTGGATGTATTTTTTATCTGCAGTCTCTGCATAGAGCAGATTGCTGCTGTACAGTTCAGGTTTTGGTGAAAGCTGGAGAGAAAGTATGGTGGTTGATCAAGATATCTGTGGGAACAGTAGACATATGATGGAGGCGTTCATAGCTTGAGGGAACAAAAAAGGCACGTGCACATCAGTCAGTTGTTAGATACCAGAAACTGGGGTTTGCCTCAGAAAGGAGTGGACTGCTTTTCATTCAGTTCTTGTGTCTTTTCTGATGCATGTAAGGACATCTGGGGTGGAAATGGAAAGAGAGGGGAGGGTCATGAGTAAGTCATAAGCCTTTGGGGATATTTCTGCAGAAAGCAGGTATTGTCAGAGGGATACTACTAACACTAAGGAGATAGACTAATAACCGTATTTAAACCTCTGAAACTTTGGTAGAATAAGACATAGCTTTTGAAGAAGATGGCAAAATTATCATTGATTTCACTAAAACAGATTTCCTCTTAATACTCCAGACTATTTGCAGAAATAAGCTAAGCAATCTCTTCTCCACTCTCCCAAACTGAGTGTTTATAGAATGGCATGGGTGGAGAGTCTGTTCACAGCAATTATCTCTGCTTCAGGAACAAGAACCACAATTCCTCACTCTCACTTTGCTAAGTGCTATAATTATCTCACAGTACGTGGTGACTAATTCAAAGCCGAGCACTCCTAGAGGCTGCCCAAGTAATATTTTAGGTGTATTTTTAGACTGCATGTTTTTTTTCGTTGGAAACAAAATTAATGAAATTCTGGTAGTTCTTACTACCTAACTTTAATACACACTCTGGATACAAATGCAGTAGCATTTGATTCCAGCTTGTCTATGAAAAATGCTTTATCCTGGCTGTATAAGCGGTAATTTCTATAATCAGTAAGGGTACTTTGTATTTCAGTCATATATTAATCTGAAGAATTCAGAAGCATGTTGCTAATAAGTCTCTGCTTAGAGCCTCTGTGAGAACAGATAGTATGGCTGTTTCCTAAGGAGCTTAGATTAAGGCATAAAGATAGAAAATGGGAAGAGAAATTAGAATTCCTTGAGTCGACCAGTAAACAATCCTTTTCCCTTTGTATACTTTGCAGACAGTAGAGGTGTGAAATACTAGCCTAAAAGGTAGTATTTCTTTCTAAATCCAACTAAAGCACAAATAACATTTTGTAACAAAAATCTGAAGAATTTACGGTGTACAACACAGCATAGCAGGTCAAAAATATCCTTCCACAGTTTCTAAAAACATCAGTGTAATATTTTCTTGTGACAGAAACAGAACCTTTACTTTCCCAGCATATATATATATATTTTTTCCCCAGAGTATTTGTAGGAGTTTGATATCCCTCTGTGAATACAAAGGAGCCAGAGTTTTTTGTTGAATGCAAGTTGCAGGCATGCAGCCTTTAGCAGTTTACACTCTACTGAGAGCAAAATCATAAATCTCATACTTCTTGAGAACACTTACTCTTCCCTGACCCAGAAGCAGGCCTTCTATGGTCAGAAGAAATTTATATCCAGATTTTGAAGCCCTGATAAGAACCCATTTCAGACTATAGAAATAGCTTTTTACGTATCAGTTTTTTCTAGGTGCTCTGACATCATCTGATAGATTCACTGCTTCTAGGGTTGTTCTTTTAGGAAAAAGAACAGTCATCTTGATATTCAGTCTCTTATAAACAGGCTTAAGAGTAATGCACTATAAGTAAAAAATAAACACAAATCTTTTTCATATACTATAGGAAAATATGAGAAGATAACTTTTGGAAGATGGTTCCATTTATATCTGTTAAACATAAAATTATACTTTTAAACTTGCAGCTTCACTGATCTTCTAGAATCCAAAAGAGAAAGGGTCATACAAATGCCCTGGTTTTCATGCTACTCTTCTGCCTGCGCTTTCAGCCACTGCAAGGATTAGACAGATGTTTGCACTGACCCTGTGGAACATTCCTTATATTTCAATTTTCAGTTCCCACATGAAAAGCCGAGTGAAGCACATAATAAGAAAACTCACAATAAGAAAATGCAAAACTAATAAATTATTCCAAGGCTAATGGTATACAAAACTGGAAAAATCACAAAAATTTGAAAAGGAAATTAGATTTACTTTTTAAATTTCATTTTAATGGTGTAATGAAAAAGTGTGGGGCTAACAGAAATTAAGTTTTCTTTCTTAATATCTGTAAGTAATTCTGTAAAGGCACATGTTATTGTGCAGGATTAAATTACTTACTTTTGAGATAATCATATTTCATTTCCTTTCCATGAAATTAAAATATTTTTTGTATGCCAATTCTTATGAAGCCCAGAGTCTGAATCACAAGTGATAGGAAAGACTTTCTATGAGTTATTGTAGTGTGAATCTTCAAACACTCTAAAGTACTGTAAAGCTCAACACAGTGACATACAGCTACTTATTTTACCTAGCATTTATTTTAGCTACTGTGCTCTGGAGGAGCTTACAAGCCAGGTAAAAGGCTCTATCATGATACAATATCATCTGGAAGTATATACATTTGTGCATATAGTATATCTATCATGTTTTGATATATCTATGATGTTTTATATTGTAGATATAGTGTATGTATGTCTATAGAAATATACAGGGAACACATCAGACTGCCTAGAAAATTAATTTAATTAAATAAAGTAAATTAAAATTAAATCCAGACATGATTAAATCATCATGGTCGGGGATTTCTCTTCCATGGTTCCCAAATAGGACTGGAAAGAACCACATATGTAATACAGTTTGTCTTCTAACAATAGCCTATCAGGCAGCAACATTTTATTTCAGAGCTCTGCAACTGCTTCACAAACCTGCTCCACACAGCCCCAGATGCTTCTGTATATCTCATCTGTACATGCTGCTGGCAGTAGTTTTGCATAGCAGCTTAGCTTGGATTTGCAGAGACCAATCCACATACTTTTTCACAAACTGATAAAGGAAATTTGGTTCTCAGTCTCAGACATTTCATAATGACATGCTAGTTGTTTTTTCCATGCTCTTTCCATACCTTTTGCTTTTCGGATATGTAGGGGAAATATAGAAATTGAGTGGCTTGTAGTATAAACCTTAGCTTTTAAGCTTTCAAACTGTTTTTTTCCACTGCCTCCAATATCTGCAAATGTGCAAAAGGAATACTAACTGTTGTATTTATTTAAGTCTGATTCATTTCAAGTAAGCAGCACAGATATGAAGCAAGCAAGCAGATAAGTATTGACCTGAAGCTACATAGCTACCTACTTGGACATCTGTGAGTGTAGTTTAATACCCATGTCTGGAAAATTGCAGGCTTATGCTTGCAAGCACACAAAGGAACCCAGCATATTAAGTTGTGCAAAATCTTAAAAATTTACGTGAAGAAAAGCAAAAAGTGCATTCTGTATGGACCTTATAAAGTTATTTTATGCCTGAAAACACATTAGATAATTGAATTTTAAGAACAAGCAAGTAGGCTGTAAGATATGTAAGATTCATATTTCTATAGCAGAAAAATATTTCATACATGGAGGAGACCGGAAAATTATGTGCAGATAAAACACCTAATAGCACAAGTCCTTATGCAAAGTAATCTCTTCATGGACAAGGATCTCAGCTGGTATTCATTTGATATATTTCCAGTTGAAAATTATCTAGGTGTCAGTCACAAGCATTTTTGAATGATTAACCCCTCAAAGCCTGTTATACTCAGAAAAGGTGTAATATACAACCCTATTTTATCCAATATTAATTTTCTCAAGACTTTCTAAGCAGATTTTTGTAATTTCAAAAGCATGAAAATTTTTCTTACCCACTCATTTCTCTTCTTCACCTGTCAGATTCACAAACTCCATCTGGAATTTGAAAAAAGCAAGCTGTTCATTCCCTCCACTCCCCTTTTTAATGAGGGCTCTGCAGACAGACTTAAGCTGACAATGTGGATGATGCAGAAGAAAAGCCACAGACCAGCTCACTCATTCTCCCATAACTGTATTGATGCTATAACACAGAAGCGAAAAGAAAAAAGTCTTTGTCATTAATGTAAGTATACCAGACTCCACAGCATCCAAGAATGTAGATTCAGAGTAATAGGACATTACTCTTTAAAATGTTATTTTTCCTGGCCATAACCTCTTCAGATTGGTTTGTTTGTGGATCTCATTTTATCACTTTCTCAAGACACCTACAAGTAATGAACCATGAATGAATATATTATGTATTTATTCTGCATCAAGAAGAAGATGTCTCTGTACAGATTCAACAACAATATAAGAAAGAGTGCTTTAGGAGACTAGAAAGTCTGTCTTCCTGGAAACGGATACCCTTTTTCGTTTGCCTATATAGCATTGTTGGAACATTTATCTGACTATTGAGCTCTACTGTGAGGAGGAATACTGCATTCAGTATTAAACTGTGAAAAAAAATTATCTGATTTATGAAATCACAAAATAAATAGGAAAGAAAAGATAGCTGTCATCCTAAATGACAAGCTTATAGCAGCTAGACTCTTTTGGGAAACTGCAAAACATCAGTTACCTCCCACATATGTGACTGCAGTTCTAACATCAAAAAAAACAGACATTAAAACCATGTAAATACAACCAACTCTCTGAGATACAACAAGTATTAACAGTTTCACATTCATTCATTTGAAAGCATATTGGAAAAATAAATCCAATCTGCACTGACATCTGTTGTTTTACAGTTTTTCAGTTAATGCGTTACAGCTAGAAAGTGGATTAACTTTCCTGTCTGAAAATTGTAAATATTCTATTAGTTATTAGAGAAAGCTGTAGCAGAATAGTTTACCTGGGTTAGCTAAGAGGCAATTAGGGGCTACTCTTTACTGTATTTAGTGTATATTTGTGGGCAGAATGTACATCATGGATCATTTTTAAGATGAGACTGGATGTGGCACTTAGTGCCATGCTCTAGTAACCATGGCAGTGTTGGATCAAGGGTTGGACTTGGTGATTTCGGAGGTCTTTTCCAGCCTGGTTGGTTCTATGATATAACAAATGTCTGACCACGACAAAAACAATTAATTAAAAAAAAATTCATAATGAAATTCTGTAGTCAGTCTGTAATTCCATAATGTGAACAGAGGTGATTTACATACTATAAGCACAGAGAGGCAGGTAAGAGGAGTAATTGGAAATGTAATAGGTTATTATTTGACTCATATCAGTAAGTAACAAGCAAATCGTTAACATATATTTTATTTTCCCATTTTCTTGATATATACACTACTGGATGGGGAAGGAATTAATACAGCTTCATTAAATGTCAGCTATTCCTGTCCCTGTACATGACACAAGCGTTTAAACTCAACAGGGGGAAGAGTGCCACCTTTTGAACTACCATGTGGTAAACCACACATGTTGGGTGGTTTTGTTAAAAAAAAAAAAAAAAAAGAAAAAAAGGAATGTCATGATCTGCTGAGACTTGACTGTAAAATTGAAGCTTTTTTCACTTCAAATTGAGAAAGAGAAATATTCCTATTAAAATTACTTTACGTAGGAAACAAGTTTTTTCCTTAGGAAAATGGACCAGAAACAGCCCCTCCTGCCCAGAAAAAAAAAAATTCCAAGTATAACAGAAAAAAAAGTAATTCTCAGCATGTTGTGTTTTTGTTTTTTCCCCAACACTAGATGATCTTTTCATTATGTACTTTCATTTATTTTCCTCTTTTTTTTTGGGAAAATGTATGTATGTACATGTAGCCACTTATTTTTTTAGTTTAATACCACCACCTCCTGAAAGTGTTGTCTGTAGAGTTTCATTTTTAAGCCTGTTTCCTCAGTCTCTTTGTTATACAGAAGAGAAAGGGGCCTAAAACAGAAATTTTGAAAAATTTGGCTACTGTCTAAAACTGCTTCTTTGTATTATTAAATTTGGCAATAATATATAATGTATGCATCACTGGTCTGTGAACTAGAAAGATGCTGAAACCAATTGTTTTTTATCCTTTGATGTCATATCAACTCCTTTTCAGTGGATGCAAACAGTTTTCATTTATGTGGACTTCCATATCATCTTTCATGAACAATGATGAATATATTATTAGCTAACTTCTAACAGCCATTAAGTAGTAATTTAGTAATTAATAAGTTGTAAATTGCTAATATTGCTAATAGTTCTTTGCAGATTTCTTCCACAGCATTTCGCCTATTACACAGACTAAAATAGTTCATAAAAAGGACATTTTAAGAAATTATTTGCCATTAGTTTCAGTGTGCCATTCCATTCTCAAGTCCCATGGCAATTAACATTTGTGGAAGGCAATAATAGACTAATAGATTAAATCGGGTTCTGAAGATATTTCTTTTCGTTATATTTAATGTCTAAGGTGTCAACCCCCTTCGAGGGATTAAACTTGATTTGTTCAGACAAAAAATTATTCTAATATTCCATATAATGTAAGGGTTTATTTCACCCTTAAATGAACAGTTGAACAGCTTTGTCATACTACAAATGACCTTTTTCAGCTTACATCTTATTATGATAGGTATTAGTAAAGGATAAAAACCAAAGGAAAAAAACTATTTGCAAACTCCTGTGTTAGATATTTATTATAAATGAACATTTTAAATTAATCATTTGGATTCCATTACCCAAGGAAATAGTTTTACTTCAGAAATATTTAAATAAAATCTGATTTGCTACAGAAATTAATAACATGAATTTATAAATATTTATACTTTCATTCCAGGAGACATTATAAATTTAAATGCGGTTGGCACAATTTTAAAAATAGTTTTATAACTAATCTTCCTTCCTTGTAAACACAGAAATGCCACTCTTTAAGTGTAATATCAAGCGCATTCAAAAATCTTTATTTTGAAATCTTTTTTCTTATACACTCATAATGTTACTGTTTAAAAAAGGTCAAGACTTGTTTTCTGTAGTTGCAGCTCATCTAGCAATGTAAGATCAACCCAAAGTTATCTGTGTTTTAAAAAATCCTTTGTCAAATGGTTAGAATTCAGCAAAGCTAAAGAATATGCACAAGTTTTTCTTTCTGACCCCATCTTTCTTTTAAAAAAGTGGAAAAAATCTAGTCAGTTCAAGAAATACTGCAATTTCACTTACTTTTGTCTAACTGCCAGGAGAACAAATTTTCATTATTCTCACCCAAAAATAAATGCAAAATTTAATACAAAAATTTCAAAGCCATTAGCTTTTTTGTGAGATAAGGCTGAATTAGCAAAGAGCCATACATGTAATTTATTCTTCCCACTATGCATTCAACCACCTTTTCATGTGTCAAGGCACAAGCAGGATGGACACAACTGTCAAGATATGACAAGAAGGTCGCTACTTATTTCAGAGTGGTTGTGTGGATGAAAGATGGTTCTACCGGGAGGAATGAACTGGTTTTGTTCAGCCTGGAGAAGAGAAAGCCTCTGGAGAGACCCTACAGCTGCCTACAAATCCCTAATAGGATGATGGAGAGAAGAAGCAATCAGACTCTTCTTGGAGGTGTGCAGCAATGCAATGAGAGGGCACAGGCACAGACTTGAACATGAAAAACTTCAGTCAGATACAAAGAAACCTTTTTACCAAGAGAATCAGGTTGGCCCCAGAGGCTGTAGAATTCCCAGCCTTCAAGGTGTTCAGGACCTTATTGCACTTAGCTTAGAGAAACCTGGTAAAATTAGACCTGCTTTGAGGAGGGGCTTGAGACAGATGCTAATGGAGGTGCCTTTCAACCAAAATTATTCTGTGATTTGATGTGAGAAATGGACAAATGACAGCACTCAGGAGGATGGGGTGGAGGGTTGCTTCCCTACGTGGCAAGGAAACATCTGGATGAATGGGTTAGTTGTTCTGGTATCAGAGTGTTAGTGCTCATTCCAGCAGCTACCCATAAAAATATCAAATGGCTCATAAAAATTATAAGCATTTAAGCCCTGGAAGAACTAAACCATGCATGAACCAGACACAGTTTCATGAAATTATCATTATTTCTTTCTTTCAAAAAAATCTATTAAATTATGATTAATGAGAAATTATTGGGGATTTAATTTTACACAGTATGAAATGTGGTTCCTGTGATAGATTGGAAATCTTGTTTATATGAGAGTGGTAAAACATGGTGCTCTACTGACAGAAGGAGCAGGTGCCATTCTCTCTCCCAGCTTCATACATTATCAGAGAACAAGCTGTACAGGGAGGAGCTCACTACTCTTCTTAAAGGACCGTGCTGCATCTTTGAGCATCTTTTCCTCATAATGTATGCGTGATCATTGTTTTATATGAGGAGGACTTGTACTTCAGTTAGAAGATATTTTTATTTTTAGCCTTAGCCTGAAAGATAGTGAAAAGGGGCTCCAACAGCATGTAAGCAATTTTGTATATTTTGAAGTATTTTAAAAGTGGCTTTATTTATTAAAACACAGTCTTAAAACAGAGCCTATATAAAAAGGTAGAATAGTATGTCCTGGGTGACTTCTTAAAAATGGGAAAATGAAACCAAGTTTTTATTTGAAATCCTCTTTTAAAATCTCAAAAAAAATATCAGTCCTTCTGCCACTAATAAAAAACATTCTTAAAGAAGTACTTCACCTCCAGAAAGCCCCACAGCAAATAACATTCCTTATATAGCAGAATGAGCTATTATGCACCTAGCCCAGACTGACCCACATCTCAGTATGGAAGACCTAAGATAACACCTTTCTCTGTATGATCAGGTATAGATCCTAAGCTGGGAGTAGAGACGTCCCACAAAATCAGATGGTCCTATAATTATTTGTGGCAGAGGGCAGAAGACTACAGAGGAGACTTGACATACTCCTTTGCATATTTTTTCCACTTTTGGAGAACTCTGATGTGTGCTGCTTATTCATACGATATTTTCTGGGCTGTGGTGTTCCACACCGTATTTCACTTTTCAGAGCAGACAGCAGGAAGGATCCCAAATCCGTTTTACTGTGGAACTAGGTAGCTAGTTACCAGTTCTGTTCTTAAGTACAAAAGACAAGATCGAGCTATGTTGAAGTTCAACAGTATCTTTCTGTGTCTTCAATGCCACTGAAAATCTCAGTAGGTATCTGTAATATGTTATATTTTATTGAAATCAGGTTTTGGCACAGAAGAGTCAAAATATACTTTGTTTAATTTCTTCATGCAAGGTTTTACTCAATAAAGGAGATGATTAACAGTATGAAATTGCTGTCTGAAGGAAAATATTTCCCTTCCTAAAGGAAGCTTTATGCCAGATTCAAGTAGCAGAAGAAAAAAGTGAATGTTTCAGTTAGATAATTTTGTAGGTTGTGCATTGGGCTGTAGGAATTGTACTTTGCTGTTGGAGCTGGCACTGTTGTGTTATCAAAAAAGAAGAAAGGAAAAGGAAAGACAAGTTATTTCTCTCTAGATAGAAACAGTGACCTCTGTTTGGCAGTTACACAGAGTGCAAATTGACCTCAAGATACGTTCTAACTTCTACAACTGCCAGAAATAAGTAAAAAAAATAACATCATATTATTGCCCTCTCAACAATCCAGTAGGAGCTACTAGAAAGCAAACATTAGTTTTCATTTGATACCTATCTGTTGAAGAAATTTCACTGTATTTCATTAGTCACAGCATTGGATTCTGAACTGATATTTATTTCCCTTTTGTGTCATGAGCAAGCAGATGCCTAGGTTCATTAGCTGGCTAGGCTAGGTAACCTGCATATAACTGAGAAGGTTAAAAAAAAGATCTTAAATCCTACAGTATCACTGAATAGATGAGAGTCATGTAATCCAGGCTAAAGTGCAAGAAAGAAACCTGCAGCATAACAGAAACCTAGCTGTAAGACAGAAATAATATTATTGTATCTTACCTATTCTGATCTCTACAGCATTTAACTTGCCCATTTAACTTGCTAAGATAATCCTGCAACAAATAAATGCTGCTAATAAAAACTTGATCTGTCACTTATTTTAGAAAATATTTGAACCACAAGAGTAAGCTTATACTGCAATCCGATTCTGGCATATTTCAGGTGGGAATTTCTCAGCAGCCATTTCAGCAGTTACAGGTCACCACTTCCACCTAAAGAAGTCCTTCTCGCTCCTTACCTGTGTACTCCCTGCTCTCAAGGCTCAGTTGTGTCCAAAAATTGTTCATGTGTCAAAGTAGTGAATTGGATGCAGGATCTGATCTGACAGAAAATGATTCCTTCCTTTCTTCTTCTTTCCATTTTTTTCTGTGCAGATATCTCACACAGTACACTGTATAAGCATACCCAGTCATTTGTGCTGCTATAAGGGATGAGAGGAATGAGAATAGGAGTGTGTTTTTAGTGGTGGTCAGGAATGCTTTTTTGTATCTGTGCCAGTTTTATATTTGCTGAAAGTACTTATTGAACTACCTAGTTGACTCTTTAATAAATTTGATGTAAAATTTAACTAGTGCTTTTGCTCTATGCTGATATATATTTTCAGTGATATTTTGGTGAAAAGACTTATAAAAGTAACCAAAACTGATTAAATGTTATTAATATATTGCAACTACGTATGTACCATATGTTTTAATATACAGTAATACTCAGAGGAAATATATGACCCATAATTTACCCTGTTTTGAAATAGCAATTTCTTCCTAATTCTAGGAAAAAAAAAAACAATTTCCTTTGCTGTCTGATGCTACCTGCTGAACCTTCTCAAAAAATAACTGCTCCAGAGGTAAGTCTCTTACTCCTCTTATCAAGCATTCACCCTTCTCAGTTTCTCTTCTGTCAGCATCATTTTTTCACTTAAGAGTCTTGAATGGCTATTCCAGTTTCAGAGGTGCTCTTTTCTATGTAACGTGTCTTAATTCAGATGAAATCTTAACTTCTCATGGAAACAAACAAGGAAAAATGAAAAGACAAAACAGCTGTACTGTGGAAACTTACATCTAGCATTGCCAGTTCCTAAAGCTTTCTAAAGCTGATAAATTGGCTTACAAATCAGTTTGGGTTCCAGATGGGTTTCTCTCCTTGGTTTGTTGGTTGTTTATTTTTTCCTTTTTAATTTACCTTTTACAGGGTTGTACTCTGATGGTTTTCACCAAATTAAGGAGAACAAGATCCCTACTTTTTACTCCATAAAACCTGAGGTGCCAAAGTAACACAGATGTTAAGTGCTAGAGAGTTAAAAAAACCCCAAACCCACTAGGTAACATAGATGTCAAGGCAAATCACATAATTGCAATTCTGCTAACACATTGCCTTTATTATATCTGGGAAAAAACCTCTAAAATTGCCTGGTAACCAGCACAATGAATACAGAATTTCAGATACTATCTGTAGATTATAATTCTGCTATCTTGGTTGCTGTAGTTACAGTGCTGCAAATGGTGTCCATCGACTGCAGTTATGGTTATGCACTTAAATTTCAAAGTTTAGTTTAATTTAAAAAAAGTTTGATCAGGTCTGAAATATGGGAAAAATATCACCCTGGAATGGGGGAAAAAGTAAAAGTATTCCTTAGGTGAGAGTACTGAGTATCTTACAGGATATCTCAAGAGAGAAATGACATTCAAGAAGCATTTGGACAATGCTCTCAGGCACATGGTGTGACTCTTGGAGCTTCCCTGCGTGGAGCCAGGAGTTATACTCCCTGTGAGTCCCTCCAACTCAGGATATTCTATGAATCTATGATTCTATCATGGTCATGTGATAGAGAGCAAATTGCCAGAAGATATACAATAAACACAAGATGAGTTATTAGCATTACAGAAGGATTCTTTCTTTGAACTGAGTTGCTTTAAATTTTCCAGAGCTCCTATGCAGAGTGAAGGTGTAAAGTTGAGCAAGGACAAGAACACTGGTGCTCTAGTATTTGTAGTTGTTTCTTATTATCTGAATCTACTTTAACGGGCAATAAATGAAATTAATTTTCTCCAAGTCAGTCATTGGTAAGTGATGTCTCTGGTTTTATCTCATGTCACAATCTTTCTTATCTTGTTTTCTCCCCATACTGCTGAGTAGGGGGAGGAAGCGAGCAGCCAAGAGGGAGTTTGGCCTTTAGCCAAAGTTAACTCACCATGTTAAAACCAGTTGAACATAGTTTTCAAATTTTCTAAGAATTCTACTTGTGGAGACCATCTGACTCATCACCCATCCTTACAAAACCTTTGAACAAATGTATCAGAGCATTAGAAAAAAATCTCCAAATTGTTACAGAGCTACATAATTTTTTTTCCCTAGAGTATTTATTGATATACTAAATAAGTTGATTAATAAACTCTAATAAGAACTAAAAATGAAGATTCAAAGATTGATATCCTGCAATTTGCCCTTCCATACAGAATTTCTTTTGTAAAGACAATGGAAAGCTAGTTTTATGCATATGTATATAATGGTGAGAATTCACTCATGGTGTTATTGCACATACTTTTAATACATTTCTCCTCCATGAATAAATAAATGTTTTAGTTTAGAGAACTATGTTCAGTGCTGTACAGAAACTGCTTGAAGAGGAAGCTGAGTCAAAGAAAATTGCTTTGTGTATATTCTACTTTAGTTTCTGAGCATATAGAGATTCTTGAGAAAGAAGTTTTCTGTTGGCATGAAATACTGAAGATGATCTGAGGTACCAGAGGAAAATGATGGTTTATTTGCTGCTTGATGCTGCTTGATGATGCTTGATGCTTGCATGCAAACTAAATGAGATTATATTTGGAATAAATTATTAAAATCTGGTACTGCCTTCCCAATAAGGGAAGAGTTGACTTTTTTTTTTTTCAGAATAAGAAGTGAAGAAGAGAAACGGTAGTTACATTTCTAGAGAAAATTCATTTGTCTAGAAATTAAAGTAGCTGGATTCCTCTTTCTTTTGGACTTGGCATTGGAAAACATTTTGCAAAAAATAGCACTGGACATATCTATTGTATGACAGTAAATAAGTCACCTAACCTATCTGTGCTCCTCTAGAGAGTGGGATAAAAATTGTCTCGACATTTATTTCTAAAAACACATACATGAATTAATTGCTGTTATTAAAAACGTCTTTTGTGTGAGAATTGTGTGAAATTTGTAAGAAAATTTTTGTGTGAAGACTAATGACAGACTACAAATCTGCAAATAGGTGATAATGAAATTAAAGATCTGTCTTGTTCTTTAGCAGAATTCCTGTTTATTAGCATAATTTAAACAAAGCAAAGAACATACCCACAAAAAGCAATCAAGGAAACCTTTTCTTCATCATATTGGAATTATACTGCATGATCAATCCTTCTCCAAGGCTCATAGTTAGAGATGAGATACATGAATATTGAATTGTCTGGAGTAATTGTCTAGCATTGAACAAAAAAACACTGAGTAGAAGATCAAAGGAAAATAAGACATAGTACTTAGAAATTTGCAACTGTTACTAAATTTGTTACAGTGAGGTCCTCCAGCAATGGATTATGGGCTCTGGGGACAGTTCTATTCTGCCCATCACCTTTACAGCTACTGCTTCACACTGAAAAAGGATACGGAGGGAATTAGCAGATACTGACAGGACATGAGGCCTAGAAGCTGTTGATGATATTTTACACATATAACTACACCTGAAATCTAATCACAAGCTATCACACATGTGAAGAAATTAGTAAATGAGTAATCTGGTGCCACAACTGGCCCGTAGCAGCTTCAAGTAATAGAACACATTAGGATGATAAATGTTTCATCAAAGTTTGAAAGACTTCTTTGAGGTCTCTTAAAATATTTATCCTTCTGCTTATATCATCCTGATTTAGCTAATACTCTTGGTTCATAGATGTTATGAAAATGAGAGACTGAATACAGATTCTATAAGAACTGTGTAAGTATACAAGCATGCTTCTTTGAGGTCTAACTGCAGCACTTTAATTTTAATTTCTAAAATATTGCTGCATTCTTGTCTGTTAAAAGCAAATGTAGAAGCTGATGTCAGATCAAGTGTTTTCCTGATGTAAGTTGTAAATATAGTTTTGTTAACTCATTAGGAAACAGCTTGAGGAAGTTAGAGTAATTTAAAATGTAATTTCAATTATTTTTTTCCATAGGGTAGGTCTCTAAAAGAAACGATTAATCTGCACCAGTTAGTCCTGTTTATTGACTCAGAAAAGATTTATGCTTTATTTCCTGCAGGTTTGGTTTGCTCATATGCTGGAAGTAGGCTAGTGTGAGAAACACCACCCCTTTGGTGATGACTTTTGAAGAAAGTCTTTGTGGAAAATCTATTATATTACATAGAAACATTTCCACTCTAGGTCACTTTTCTTAATAGCAGAGACATGTTATTAGCCAATAAAAATATTTTTTAATATTTAGCAATGTACTGAAAGCAATGCACAAAAAAGTCACTAGGTTCCATGCTTTTAAATGTTCATTGAAATAAGAGATTAAAGTTCTCAAGCTCTAACATTAGCAACTTTTGCAATCAAGTCAAGCAAATCCATTTGTGGTCATTAATTTCACTTATCACCATTGAAATTTGAGGAAGCTGAATGTGACTTAAATATGAAATGTGTAGTGAAGTTATTGGTACTATTTTTCAGAGAGAAATTAGGAAGCCTGTCTAATTGGGCTCTGGCACAATGTTCAGAAATGGCTCTTAGATAGATCTCTACTTAAAGAAATTTCCAAGGGATGGAAAGAAAATCTGTTGTCCAAATTGCTACTTACAGCTACTGCTGCTGAGCTTGGGACTTTTGCTAACAACACAGCTTCCCAATATAAGATCCTCAGAAAAAGATCAAGTCTATATTTTTCTGACAAAGAGAAGTGAAAAGTTATATTTTGTGTCTCCAACTGATGGTCTCTTTCAGTTTTTCCAAAAGGTAATATTCAAAGATGCCTTGCAAATTCCTGAGAAACTGTATTGCAAAGAAATCTACATCTGTGACTGCATTGGCAATTCCTTGAATTAGGCTCTTTTCTGACATTCTTCTTTAGTTTTCTTTACCCACAGAAGTCCTTCCTTTTGATATAAATAAAAATAACATATTTATTGCAGAAGTATTAGGTTGATTTGATCAGATAAGGATCTGGTCCTTGAATGTGTACGACTGCAGACTTGACAAGCACAGGTCACAATGAGGACAGTAGATTTCTGTTGTGGGGCCCGTCATTGTGGCAGGTTCACATGCACTGCCAGCAAAACAGGACTGTGACTTCTCTCTGGTGTTTCTGAGGAGTAATAATAAAAAGTCAGTGAGCAGAAGGTGTCTAAACTGACATATAAAGGTTTAGCTATTTACATACCCAGGCTCCCATCATGCTTGTTCTTGTCTGTAGGTGC